CAAGTAAGACTCTCAAAAAAAAAAAAAATGTATAATGCTGGGCCATTTTATTGAAACTTCTAGAAAACATGTGCTTCAGGGCATCAGTCACATACACTGGGCTCAGAATAGATCTCTTTGAATTATCTTACAGAGGTTGTTTTTTTTCCATGAACAGAGCAATAGGCTGTACTACACAGCTTAGGAATGTAACAGGCTATGCTGTCTATGTGTAAGAACATGCTATGATGTTCACACAATGAAATTGCCTTTTCTGAAAACATATCCTCATTTTAATGGAACACCCACCCAAACTCCGTAAAATAATTCAGGGAGGTTTAATATGAGCCAAGTGTGTGTGACTGACAACCTGGAGCATGTGTTTTCAAGAGGTTCTGAGAAAATGTGTGCATACCATGTTTCCCCGAAAATAAGACCTACCCCCAAAATAAGCCCTAGCAGGATTTCTACGCATTTGTTAAATATAAGCCCAACCCCCGATAATAAGACCTAGTGATGGGCGTGCCATGCATTTCGGCGTGGAGAGTAAGACATCCCCCAGAAATAAGCCCTAGTGTGTCTTCCTGAGAAAAAATAAATATAAGACAGTATCTTATTTTCAGGGAAACACGGTAGCTGGGTTATAGTATGGCTTTGCACATTCATGGAGCCAGGAATTTTGTGGAAGATCATGGATCAGTATGCAGAGGGTGTACATTGGTTTGGCCAGAAGGGGTGGGACATATTGAAGCAGGGGGCTTACAGGTTATAGGTGGATTTTTAAGAAAGCATACAGCCTGTGTCTTAGAATCTTTCTCTATCTCCTGACATCTGTCTCTCCCTGCTGTTGCCTCTGCATTTTCATTTATTTCTTCTGTTTCTTTGGCTCTCACTAGTGCTTCAGGTCTTGGTTGCTGTCCCAAGGTGTCTATGAATGTATACCTTGTTTTAGGTGTCCATCTCTCAAACACTTTTTCCTGTGTGTGTGACGTCCATCAGTCGCTCTGTCCAAGCTCTGGGGTACAGGGTCCTTTCGTTCACAAACTCCATGCCTATCTTTTTGTGATTCATTTGGCTCCACCTTAGCTCTGGGGAGGATGAGGCACATAAGCGAGGCCTCTGCACTGCACAACTCTGGGAGGCTCAGAGAAGGGTGCTCCTGGGGGGCAACGCTAGGATCCTAGCTATAAAGAGCATGTGACTTGGAGTTGGACACACCTAGGTTTGAATCCTGCCTCCGTATCTCCCTAGCTGGTTACTGCTTTGGAGCCTCAGTTTCCTTCCTCATGGGGCTATTGTGAGGATCCAGTGAGATAACTCATGCCTACAGCTTGGCAGAGTGCCCAGGACCTAGTGCTTAGGGAGAAGAATGTATGATTACTGTTTTCATTCCCATTCCTTTCCTCTCTCCTCTGCTAATATAGACGGACAGTGGGCAGCCGCAAGAGGAAGCTGGCAGCCAAAGCATACATGCCACTGCGGGCAAAGCGGCGGGCAGCTGAGCTGGGTGGACACTGCCCCTCGGACAGCAGTGCAGAGGGGGCTTCAGGCCCTGAGCGTCCAGAAGAAGGCATTGACAGTCACACGTTTGAGAGCATCAGTGAAGATGACTCATCCTTGTCTCACCTCAAGTCATCTATTACTAACTACTTCGGTGCAGCTGGGCGGCTGGCCTGTGGGGAGAAGTACCAGGTGCTGGCTAGGAGAGTCACACCTGAGGGCAAGGTTCAGTACCTGGTGGAGTGGGAAGGGACTACCCCTTACTGAGTAGCTTTCAGGGGAGGCCAGGAGCCCTGAAAACCAAAGGAGGGACAGCAGAAGCCATAGGCTCCCATTTTTTCCAGGCTGGGGTGGGAGAGGGAAGCAGAACAGGGCTCCAAGTTCCTGGCAAAAGGCCCTGTCTGTCTCCTTATCAGGCCAAGGCCAACAAGGCCTGTGCCTTTCTGCTGTGCCAGTTCTGTTCTAGGGCCTCCTCAGACCCATCACCCCGTGCCTATGTCCCTAAGGTCCCACTAGCTGTTTTTCAGTGTCTCTACACTCCATACCTCCACTCTGTTCATGTGTTCCCCTGAATTTGGGTCTCCCTGGCTCTGACCCTTTCTTCTAAGGCCTAAATCGTTGCCACCAGCTGTCCCTTAACCTCTGCCCCCCTTTTGGGTGTATTTATACATTCTATGTCCACACTGCCCCTCCATTGGGTATCTTTCACACCCGACCATGGGGCAGCCAGTCCTTCCAGGGACTACATGATGAGGACAGGAACCTTTGAGAGAGAATGGGCAGAGATGGGTAAGAGGCTACCTCCCAGATCTTTTCTCTCCCACATTCCTGCCACTGCTCTTGGAGAGAGGTAGTGGTGGGTGGAAGAAGGCCCCTCTGAACACAGTGTCACCAGGGCCCAGTAGCTGGGCTGAGAGTGAAGGCTGCAGGTATTGGTGTGGAGGTTCCAGATTCCTGTTTGCTGGCCACACTCCCTCTGTTGCCGTGGAGCTGGGCCTGGCCTTGCTGGAGTTGGAGTGGAGGCAGGAAGGAGGGCAGCCAAGTTGTGCTACACCCCAGACTGATTCTGCTGTCTCCTGCCCCCAGACCCACAACACACACAGGCAGACAACACACATCCACTCACATTTAAGTTTCCACACACGCCTCCAAACCACCACACATGCACACATGTAGCCACAGATTCCCTGTGGGGCCAACCTGGCTCTCTCACTTCGCTTTTTCCTTGGCCCTCTGCCAGGGCCCACGTGTTGCAACTCAGTGTGAAAGCTCAGATCCTGCCCCTTCTTTTAGCCCCTGGGCCACCTCTGGCCCCAGAGGGAAGCCCAGGGAACTCAGCCTCTTCCATATCCCCTGCCCTGCCCTGCCCTGCAGTTCACAATCACTTTTTGGGATAGGTTGTGATTTTTAAGGGGCCTACATTCATTCATTTCCCTCAAAGGGAAACCTTTATCAATGGGGGTAGAAACTGAATTGTAAGAAAAAACATTCAAACTGGGCCTCATGTGGAGGGAAACCAAAACTAGGAGGGGGAAGGGGACCCCTCATTTTTGCTGCTTCTGGAGATGTTAGAAACTGACTTACTCGATTGGAAAATGGAAAGAAGTGCCTTGACCGGGGGCAGGCACCACATGGGCATCAGCCTTGTGACTGCTTCTGTGGCCTCCAGCATGGCTGGGTTCTGAGTGCTGCCAGCAGGAAGGCAAAGGTGGGAAGAAAAGTGAGCGGTGGGGGCACAGCAGGCCTGAGGAGCTAGGTTTTGCATTACTAGGCCTGAACCCCTTCTTCACCTGTGGGCACTCAGGGGCCCCTAAGATAGTTTAGATGCCCCTGCCTTAAACCTCTGTTCCCATTGTGCCTTTCAAAGTAACCTCACCTCCTGTGCAGAGCCCACCCTCTTCCCTCTGCTCCCCTGGTGTGGCCTGGGCAGGGATGGGCTGGCTTAGGTCCACTTCTCCCCTTCTCAGCCCCACAGCTGCTGCCACTAGGGCCTCCAACTGGGGCCAGCTGGAAGGGGAGCTGAGAAGCCAGATCCCAGCCCAGCAGAGGTGTAGGACTGCAATCCAATCTGTGCCTTCCTGCCTGGCTTTAGGGCACACTGCAGCCTCCCAGGCCTGCTTTCAGGACTTCTAAGGAAGCCCAACATGAGCCAGGCCTATTATAATATAGCTGCCTCTTCCCTGCTCAGGCTCCAGAAGGCTCTGGGTTTGAAGAGGGGAAAGGACAGAGGGTGGCTCCTTCCCTACTTGGGGAAGCACAAGGCCTAACTAAGTGGCCCTGACTCCCCACCCAGCATTGCCTTTATACCAGATCATAGCTGCATTACTGCCAACTGACCCTGTAACCCTCCGCACCTTCTAAAAGATTCATGGTTTTGAATTGCTGCTTTTAATAACATTTGTTATATTAAAGTTATAATTAATGTGTCTGATTTACAATTTAAAAGCTCCCTTTAAAAAATCACCTATCTTCCACATAGTGAACTATCAGAAGGAAATGGCTCCGGCTTCTGCTCCAGGTTTCCTGGAGGTTGAGGAAGAATGGGGAGACTCCATCCTCTGGTCACCTCAACACTCTTAGCACTGCCTAGAACATTCTTTCAGCAATATTCTCACCCTTGCTGCCAGAAAGAATGGGGAATCTTTTGTCTACTATGAGTACCTGATCCAAGGGGGCAAAAAACTGAGGGCCACTTAGATGGGAGATGAACTTAGAAATTGACCTTGTTAAAATACTTAAGTGTAGATACTGCAAAATTTTACTCAGTATGCACAAGAACACAATTCTAGAAACATTAAATGAGTTCTAGGCCTGGCCCTGCTAAGCTATACCACTTCAGTTAGGTTCCTTTGCTTCAGTTTTCTTGCCCTCCAAACGCCAGTGATAATCCTGCCACCTCTGGCTCCCCAAGTGTTGAGACGGAACTATTCATGTATGTGACTGATTATTAAATTTTTCTAACGTCAGGGCAGTTTGGAGAGAAAAAACTAGATGTAAAGGGATAAGAAAATGATCAGCTACAGGGAGGTGAAGGCCATGGGTTCAAATGAACTCTGTGGTTTCAGGGGTAAAGTGTACTGGAAGGACCGTGTGGAACAGTGGCCAGACTATGTACGCTGGAGTTATACAGACCCTAAGGATGAATGAACTCCTCTAAATCTGTTCCCCCTTAGAATGAAGATACCATCACCAACCTCCAAATCTGTGAGGAGGAGAAAACACAATATATTTTTTAAGTGCCAGATCAATTTAGCAAATAGATGTTTTAAGAACAACTCTTTTCTTTTAGGGTTTAATACAAGGGGTTCTTTGGGTCTGTGGCCTACAAAGGGACATACCAAATGCATTAGGTTTAGAATAAGACACTTGGGTTCACATTGCCATTTTTAAGTGTCACGTGCTCTTGGATCTCACGTTATAGGTGCAAAACAAGGATAAAATTGAATTATAAGGATTAAAGAAATATTATAAGAACTTAGGCCTAACTACCTGGTAGAAAAAGCTGCTGTTTAGTAAGTGGCCCTCTCCCCGTCCTACAATAGTCCACTTTGACACTGAGGACACAAGGAAGGCCACCAAGAAAGTTTCTGAGAACACGCACAGCGAGCACAGGAAATGACCAATGAAGGCCACAGACAGAAAAATCTCCTTTGGAGTTAGTCTCACTTTAAGAAAATTTAAGAAAAAAGTTGGATGTTGCCAATTCCACAAATTAAAGGTGACTACTATACAGAAAGCACTGGTTAGATCCTTGAAGCATCAATTTGAGAAATATTTATGAAACCCCATATAAGAGATCAAATAGATTCAGACATTCCCCTAACCTTGATTAGCTCACAGTCTACAAATATAAGGTCAACTATGATGCACAAAGAAAACAGGAACACCCAGGCAAAAGAGATTCCTTCCCAATGGGGAAACTAGGCCTTACAAAAATTTCACAAGCATTCATGCAGAAAGGCACTCCAGGTAGGGGATGGAGTAACATCATGCAGCACAGTGGAGCCATCCATTTCCCAGAGTAGAAGATGACTGGTGGATGATGGAAAAGGTGAGTTGAGGCCAAGTTATGAAAGCCAGATCTAGAAACTGGACTTTTATTCTAAAAGCGATATAGGCGATCCATTTGGGTCCCCAGTACATTTTATATAAGGTTTACTTTACCCAAGAGTTGCATATCTATCAGAGCACGATCTGTTACAAAATTCAAGGAACACCCGTAACATTTTCTTTGTTCTCCTGAGGCAGCCCCCCAAAACCTCCACTGGAATCCTCTGGAACTTTCAAGGGTCTTCATGAAACGCCCTTGGGGATCCTCCCCAATTTGATATTTGAGAGCATGATGGTCAAAGAAGCCCAGCAAGTGTCAAGAACTACAGCCCAACACTAGCCCTGCCATATACTGTTCTCTCAAGGAGAGACCCAGGATGTGACTGCAGTTTATGAAACTCTACCCAAACTTCCATATGCTCCACAGAATGGAGTTATCTCATGACAGATTCAGAGGAGACTTGGGTCAAATTTCTCTCCTTCTCACCCCTTAGGGCTCAACAGGCCATTGCCCTCCCTTTGTCTCCCACCAGAGCCTCTCAGAGCAGGGGCAGGAACATCAGACAGTTTGAGCAGCCTGGGCTATACTGGGAACTCCACACACCTCAGTACAGTTCAGTTACCTTTAGTAATCTGTAAATCGCAAACTGACTTACAGCATGGTTTATAAACTTTTAACATAACATTTTTTTAAAAAATGCCTATTGAGGTGGCCTCCAAAGTAGCCTATTATTAAACTCTGGGGCTCTGTGGGGAAACCCGAAAAACACTGTTCTACCCAGATTCCATGCACAAGTTAGGATGGTGAGCTCAGAACCTGTGTGTCCACAGAGCAAGGCCCTTGAATAATCTGGAGTCTGTTACATGCAGGCTAGGAAAGAGTCAGGACTGACTGACAACTCATGAGGCTGTAGCTAAGTCCCCCAAATCCCTCAGTCGCACACTCATGGTTAGCTCATGGTCGCTCACCAGTCCCACTTCCACAGAACTCAGTAACAACAAGTCTCTGTGGCTAGGAAAAACCCTGCTGATCCCTGAAATCTCACCATCAGCACTTCATCCTTTGGATAAAGCACTCACCAGCTCCCTAGAAGGAAGCACCCATCCCACACACTCCTGCCATGAGAAGAGCAGAGCAGTTATATATATCCCAGGCACTCAGGTAGGCCCTGTGACTTCAAGAAGGTGGCAAATCTCACCCCCACTGCCTCTTCCCCTTGGTCCCTACACACAACCATCCTCACACCCTCCCACCTCCTGGCCACCTTTAACTATAAAGCATTCAGAGACAAGTTTTATAGCTTCTTACATGGCCTGACTGGCCTGCTCCTCTCTTCCAGCCTTACTTAGGCGTCTCAGATCTTCAGCCTCCACAGGGCATTTAGCTCCTCTGTGCTGAGGGGAATATGGAACCCGGACACAAAGTGGCCTCCTCTTCCCCAGCTGATGAGGCCTGGAGGCAGCCAGCAACATGACAAAAAGCTTTCCCCACTTGGTCCCCCTCTACAAAATAGTGCACACCTTCTTAGCCCATGGGAAGACTGAAGAACTCTGGGACTTCAAAAGGATGCACCAACCTTTGGAGAGAAAGCAGAACCCTGTGAGTGACTATGATTAAAATTAGCCCATGAGTTTAAACCCAACTGGCCAGCCTCCCCAGAGGCCCCCTGCAATCTGCTGCAACCCCCCTGCCCAGCCTGCCGGCCCATCATCCCAAACTTCTGTGTCCCATTTGTCAACAAGTGGTGAGTTGAGCCAGATGGCTTTAAGAGTCTCACAGACACTGGTTCAGTTCTACGTCTATCTTTACTAGCTGTATGACTCCCCACACAAGTCACTTAATTTCTCTACAGGCCCCTATAACACAGGGGATAAAAAGCAGAGGATTAAATAAGACAAGGTATGCAAAGCACTCATCCAGCACAGCAGCCAGCATCATACGCACTGATGAAACATTAGATGTTTTTTCTACTACTGTCCCATCCACATCACTGTGCCTTCCCCAAATAATCCACCCTCCCTAGTAGCTCTGTATTCTCTTGCCCACCTAGAAATTTCTCCCTGTCCCTGCTGGTCAATCAAAAGCTTCTCTTGACTCAACTACTACCTTTTCCAAGGGCCCTTCCCTGCCCACTCAAGCCCCCAGGAATCTCTCCTATTTTTATTTTACCTGGTCCACATCACACAATGCAAGGTCTCTTCCCTTTCCAAACTAAAAAGACATGAGG